GACGAGGAGAGACGAGAGAGCCGGCGATAAAGGAGAGAGGAAGAGAGAGAGAGAGAGAGACGAGGAGAGAGAGCAGAGAAGGATGAGAGAGGAAGAGAGATGAGAATAGAGAGAGAGGGAAGGAGAGAGAGAGAAAGAGAGGGCGAGAGAGAGACGACGAGATCGAGAGAGAGGGGAGAGAGATGAGAATAGGAGAGAAGAAAGAGCAGAGGAGAGTGAAAGAGAGAGAGAGAGCGGGAAGAGAAGGGAGAAGAGAGAGAGACGAGGAGAGAGGCAGAGATTAGGGGGAAACGAGAGAGAGGAGGGAGGACGCGTGGTTTCGCTAAAGCCTCTATGTAAGGACGGTGAACGTACGATAGAGGCGAGTGAGTAGTCACGTGGTTTGTTCGTCTGACTTAGCAATTGTCCCTGTCTACCTGGCGCGGCAAACCGTCTCACCAATCCACCGTTGCGCATTATGACTGTTTCTGTTTTTATTTCATCGTCTTTATGACCGCTTTTGATCATATAGAATTATATACATAGGTCATTATTGGCATGCCTCGGACCATAATATTTACCATATTTCCCCCTTTTCTTTTTCACATGATCGAAAAACAATAAATGCATTATTGTGACGTACAACACGATGCACAACGTTAATTCAAAATCAACATATACCGTAAGGGGCCATCGACAAACTAAACTGCCATTCTAGATGTCCGTTCGAATGTAGATAACGTAATGGCTGCGTTGCCAATTCACCGTTTGCCTCACATCGTTGATACGGCGCAGCTCATACGCATAATTGCGCTCAATGGGACATTCATAACGGTGACTTATGACACATAATCGAGATTTTGGCATGCCTGTCTATGAAAATACGCTTAACTGCGCAGTAGTAGTAGTTAGTTTAGTAGTAGCAGGAGTAAGGATAATATAGGTTATATTATCTTATATTATCTTATATCTTATTTATATATCTTAATCGTATTATATCTTTTTATTTATCAGGAGCGTATAGATGACAAATATACGTCATTATTGTCCAATTATTGGCAATTATTCAATTATTGTCATTATTTGTCAATTTGTCATTATACGGCTCCTGATATTATAACATATTCATAATATATACTATATTATTATATATCTTCATACTATATATATATCTTATTATATATCTTATAATATTTCTTATATATTATCTTATATTATCCTATATTATGCTTATCCTGGTAGTAGCAGCTAGCAGTGCAAGCAGCAGTAGCAGTTTTGAACTTTGCTGTTTGCTGACATCGTTGTTTGCCTGACATCATTGTTTGCTGATATTGTTGCTTGCTGACATTGTTGTTTGATGAGCATCGTTTTGCTGACATTGTTGTTTGCCATGACATTGCTATGTTGTTGAATCATTGTTTGCTGACTCGTTGTTTGCTGACATCGTGTTTGATGCACATCGTTGTTTGCTTGGACATATTGTTCTTTGCTGACATTGTTGTTTGTGGACATTGTATGTTTGTTGACATCATTGTTTGCTTGACATTGTTATTTGCTGAACTTGTTGTTTGGCTTGACATTGTTGTTTGATGCATTCCTGTTTGCTGGACATTGCTGTTTGCTGACATTCTTGTTTGGTTGACATCATTGTTTGCTGACATTGCTTATTTGCTGCACATTGTTTGATTTGCTGCATTGTTGTTTGAATGACATTGCTTAGTTGCTGACATTGTTGTTTGCTACATTGTTGCTTTGGATGGAATTGTTGTTGCTGACATTGCTGGTTTGTGACATACGTTGCCCCCATCTCGTTTGCCTGAATTGTTGCTTTAAGTGACATTGTTATTTGCTTGACATTGTTGGTTTGCTGACATCGTCACTGTTTGCTGACATGTTCCGTTGTGGAATCGTTGTTTGTGACATAGTGTTTGCTGACATTGTTGCTTTGCTGACATCGTTATTTGATGGAGCATCGTTATTTGTGACATTGTTTGTTTGCTGACATCATTGTTTGCTGACATTTGTTATTTGCTGACTTGCTGTTTGTTCTGCGGCAGGGTAATGACCCGGCGACGGACCTGAGAGGCATGGGTTATGCTGGAGTCTTCTCCTGCCTCGTCTTGCTCACGGATGCAAGACTCTGGCCATCTGCCAGCAAAGCGACATACACAAGATGTCTCTCCACGAAACACAGTATAACATGATACTATATCCGATATGCCGACGACTGTGCTGATATGATGTAAGCTACGATAGCGATACTCTCGGATACTATTCGATACAATACGATCACATGTAACATGCATAGCGCATAGGCGTACGCATGCTGTGATATGATCAAGCAATATAGTATATTAGCCCTATCTGACGTAGTCAGATGCAGCTTGTAAGAATCGCATGATTGTCGTTCGGCCGTTTGTGCACTCCGTCGTCAGCTGCGTCAACCAGTGGGGCCAAATGCTGAAACGCGCTCGACCGGTACGGTCACGATATTCGGGACGTCCGGGGGGGATCGTGAGAAATGGTCTCAGGATGCCATTTGGCGAGTCACAGGCTTTGTCAAAGTAAGAGCCGCGCTGTAAACCGGAGCGGAATAATTGTCTCCTTAACTTAATAAGGTATTAGCGAGGAAATACGGAAATGTGTGGCACAAATTTCTGAACGGCTCGACCTATGCTCTTCAATATTTTCGGTGTATAGTTGTGATGGGCAGGACCATCACCAGTGCGGAAATTCGGTCCCAGGTCAAAGGGCAGTGGGAAAGGTAGATATCAGACTTTTCTAAGGACATGGCCTAATGGACAGAGCTGGACTTTTTTGTATTCGCGCTGACCTACCATTTTTATACCTTTATGGAAATGCGACATGACATTGCTTTCCACTGAGTTGCAAAAAGATAAGTGTCTGATTAACCCTTTTGACTCAAGAGGAGATTAAACATGGATTTTGTTGACTGCTAACAAAGCGACTTGAACTGCCTTTTGCATTATCGAGCCATACCTGGGCTGAATATGAGGCCTAAATTTCGCAGTTCAATTGCAAATGACAAAAGTTTGTATGACAAGGTTTACGTCCTTAAATCATATTATTTTTTCTAAGCTGTCGTGTTATATATATTTGAAACCTGAATGCTTTCGCGTGGCTAGCGTCAGGCCGAATGGTAGGCAAAAACCCGGGGGCAACCCTCATTACTCATGCATGAGGGGAACTCGGATCCTATTCTAATAAACATTGCAACCTGCAATGCCAGATCGTGTTTAATTTATACTCACGCTGAGCGAAATTGTCGCCTGCCTGAATATACTTGTGGACTTTAGCTGCTGAATTTCAGCAACTCAATGAATAGGTTATCTCTACTTTCTTATTAGATCCCGAACGTACTGAAGGGCGATGCCATCTTTGATTATTGATTACACTTGCACGCGCCATCTCATGGCAACTATAGGCCTAGTTATACATTATGACACGCATAGAATCGCAGCAGTATGAGTAGGTGCAGTGTTAGGGTTTAGTTTTATCCTCCGCTGAGGCATTGCGGTGCAATAGCACGGTGCTTGCAATGCGACGTAAGTTGTTCGGCCAGCCTCTGGGCGGTAAGCGCAGGTGAAGGCAACAAGGGTGAGCCACATCAGATGCTCAGCTAGTACTAGCACACGTTCAGAGCGGGCTCGTACGCGCGCCAGGCTCGCGGAGCCGTGAAATGCTCAGCGGCGCAGGACGCGTCAGTTGGTCGTTTTTTCTCCGCGTAATTGCAATCAAACGGATGGCGCAGGAGAAGCAAAAAAGTTGTAACGACGACGAAAATTGGGTGTCGTGTAAGGAAGGGTCCCTCAGATGAGTGCGCGTAGACAGGAAGTGAGATGGCAGATGGTAGCAGCAAGAGTGTGCGGTGAGAGAGGAGGCTGATTCAACCGCAGCGGGATAAGGAAAGGGCCGTGACGCAACGAGGCAGACAAGTCGGGACAAACAAAGCAGAGGAAGAAGACTTGATCCTATGCACCCGGAGAGCGATGAGGACCACCAGCATGACACTTTTACTTCTACCATACCGCGTTGACGTAGTGGTGATCTAAAAACGCTGCTTAGTTGGTGAATGGGTTGACCATCTAGCAACGAATATCTTGAGGGAGGGGCTAAGGAAATTTATTCACACGCAAGACAGTATAGGTCAGTTAAGAATATGCGTACCCTGTGTCGTGTTTTCATCCAGCAACTGTCAGTAAAGTAGGCGGTCAGAACAAGAGTCGCTATGTTTAATATCAGCAGGTTAATAGAAAGCGCAGTTGTCGCCAATAATGTATCCCCGTGTTCTCTCAGATGTGTAAGTTCGAAGTTTGGTCACGCTAGGTCAATTAGGGTCGAGTTGTAGAGCGGAAGCGCGAATTCTCTGCGGCGGACGAAGCGGCGGCGGCGGCGGCGGCGAGGCGGCTGGGGAGACATAAACCATAGTATCCCCGCCGACTTCGTCGCGGGGTAATTGTCATTATTACCCCCTGTTAATATGTAATGTATGTATGTTTAAATGTCCGGTACAACATTTAATATACTACAGCGATTCATAACAATGGATACGTGCAATAATAAAGTCGTGTGCCCGTAAGGTATATTCGTTTGTTCGATATTGCTATCGAAAAAGCAATATTCACAGGTGTCCTGACATTTCTGTATTCGCGCGCATTGTCATTTTGTGAGCATCTGCTGCGTCATAATGAACTAGTATCTGCCTTTATACGAATAGCTTCTCTATTCATCTTCCGCACAATGCGTTTGTCTCACGAAACAGGTAAAAGGCGCTTGCATCGAGTCGTCGTTGTAATCAAGTAACCACTTCGAGCGTATGCTGTGCCGAAGGTAAATTCGTGCGCGCTGTTTTCGTGGTTTTGCTCCGTAACTCGTTTGCTCACTACTGATTTGTTTACTTGCAGAATTTTCCATTTTCGTGATGAGCATAAACATAAGTAGAATCGTCCTGCAGGCGTTGAGAGAGGACTGTTTAAACAGTATACATACGTTATCGTGTTATAAATTTTAGATGAAATCTTTACGACCCAAGAGACCCTAGTATTGCATCCAACGCCCAAAGTTATAAGCATCCCAATAGTGATTAAGATTTTTATCGGGCACATGAAACTAATGTGGAGAATGTTACAGGCAGATACGTCGTAAGTGTACGTCGGACGGCACACATGTTATCGTACTGTCTCTTAAAATCCGAGCCCTATTTTATTTATTTATTTATTTATTTATTTATTTATTTATTTATTTATTTATTTAAAGGCGGTACATTGGTAGTAAAAGATATCTATCAACGTGAGGTTGCAAGCTCCTCGCAGCCACCGCCCCTATTAGAGAGCGTTGATCTCTCGCTTGCATCATTGCCACGCACTTCCCACCACCCCCTGTCTACTACTGATCTAATAAGCACGCCAATCATCGGGGCTGTGATGAGAGAGCGAGAGAGAGGAGGGATAAGGGGAGAGGCGAGGTGAGAGTGTGTGTGTGTGTGTGTGTGCTGTGTGGGAGAGAGAGGGTGGTGTGTGTGGTGACGAGAGAGCAGAGAGAGAGAGAAGAGAGAGGAGAGAGAGGAGAGATGAGATAAGAGAGAGAGAGCAGGAGGACAGAGAGACGAGGGAGTGGTGTGTGGGAGGAGAGAGAGAGAGAGAGAGAGAGAGAGAGAGTGTGTGGGGAGGAGAGAGAGAGTGTGTGTGGGAGGAGAGAGAGAGAGTGTGTGTGGGGAGAGTGTGTGTGTGTGCGTGCGTGCGTGCGTGCGTGCGTGCGTGCGTGTGTGTGTGTGTGTGTGTGGTGTGAGTAAGGGAGCGAGATAGAGGAAGAGAGAGAGAGCGTGCGAGCGATGGCGATAGAGAGATAGATATAGATTCAGATTCAGCACGGACGCTTGCTTCCTAACTGCATCTGCGACAGTAATTCTCAGCTTGTCGCCCGTGGCCGGGTCGCTGGCCGTCCGTGTCCGTTGTTGTAGAGAGTGCAATAGAAGGCGGCAGGTGTTGTCCGTCGTCAACACCTTCTATGCGGCGACATTTCTACAGCTGTATACGACGTGGAAGCAGCATCACAAGACCATTAAAGATTCAGGCTTCGTCATTAAAGGTGCGCAGCGCGCCGGAGAAATCCCGTTTTCATGCGTCTGCAATTCTGAATGCAGCGCATAGCAATTTACCTGATTCTTATTATAGAATAAATTATGTATGGCGCGGCGAGGCATGGCATGATTCAATAATATCGTTTCTCGATGCAGTGCCAGTACTGGGGCGATGTAATTTTTAGTAGGTGTATATATACGGAGCTTTCGTTCCAAAGGATGTGCCTTTATCATGTTATGCGCCGTTCATTATTATTATAATTTCATGTATTTTATGTATATTGTTACGTGTTAGTTTATTATTAATAATAATGTGCTGTTATGCGATGTTTTTTTTAAAAGATCTGGAACAGTATGTAAAGCGAAACCCCAAGCGAGTTCTACACAACCTAGAACACTACCTAACGGAGCCAAGAAAATCGGCAAAGCAGCCTGCATCCAACGCGGAGCCCGGGCAAGACACCTTCTCAAACGTGTGCGAAGTAAAATAGGGTAGAAACGAGTGTCATTGCAGTTGTACACTGACGGTGACAAGGCGAAACCTGTACGTGGCTACTGTAGACCTTGGTAAACTCCAGTATCTATTGTAGACCTTGACAAACTCCACTCGGCTTGGTAAGCGAGATTTTTCTGGAATCTTCTTTCGCATCGCTAGTCCCGTGACGCATTAGTTTGGCTGATGAATCTAAAATCGGATGGCGTAGGAAAAGCGAAAAATGAATAAGCCGAGAAATGAATAATGTACGCGGGCAAATTAATTATTCATGACTCATCTTCAAGGTTAATTCCGAGTTTCGGCAGAATCTAGGTTAATTGTAAATTGATAACGTGGAAGCGAGAATTGGCCACTCCCAATACCATGGTTTTTGTTGAAAATATTCGAGTGAATATAATTTTATGTTAGTAGGGCTCTGTTATCATTATACATTCGCTATCGTGTTATGAGTAAGATTGTCCGAGTGGTTGCTGTGGACCAGTAATGCACAACTTTAGCCTCCTGTTTAAGCGTATATATCCTACGATAAGAGGCCTTCCACGTGTCAATAAATGCGAATCTTTGCATGTTGTGCATGATGACGCAGTAATAATCAATAATCGATAATCAGTAATAGTGGCGATGCCAATAACATTACAGACACAAATACGACATTTGCTGAGACATTGCTAATTGTGCTGTCTCGATTAAATGCGGAAGAGTGAATCATTTTAATTTATATAATGTTTTACAGCGATAATATCAACTGCGCACACGCGGCACATGTGTGAATGCCTCCGAGCTGTATGTATGTACGTAGCTCAGGCATGGGGGGCGGTTGGGCTGGATGCGTCTCACTATTTTGTAAATGTGGGAAGTAGTCACCTGTGTTTTATACCTTTGCATTGTTTTTTACCCTTTAGGTGATATTGGATGTGTGTCACCCAGATCTGACCCAAATGCTTGTGTGCTCTTTATGTTTGAGCTTATTAAACATTCCGATAAAATTGCAATTATATTGTTTAGTGTGTGCGTGTGCGCACGCACGCGCGTGTGTCTGCGTGTGTCTGCGTGTGTGCGTGCAGCGTATGTGTTTGGGGGTGCGTGCGCGCGTGCGTGTGTCTGCGTGTGTGCGTGCAGCGTATGTGTTTGGGGGTGCGTGCGCGCGTGCGTGTGTGCGTGCAGCGTATGTGTTTGGGAGTGCGTGCGCGCGTGTGTCTGCGTGTTCGTGCAGCTATTGTGTTTGGGGTGCGTGCGTACGTGTGCGTGTGTGCTTGCTGCCTGCATGTGCGAGCAGTGTATGTATTTGGGGCGTGCGGCGCGCATGTGTGTGCTACAGGAGTGTGCGTGCAGTGTATGTATTTGGGAGTGCGCGCATGTGTGTGCGTACAGGGTGTGCGAGCAGTGGATGTGTTTGGGGTGCGTGCGTGCGCGCATGTGTGCGTGCGTGCGTGTATTGTATGTGTTTAGGCTGCGTGCGTGCGTTGTGTGTGTGCGTACAGGTGTGCGTGCAGTGTGATCGTATGCGTTGCTGTGTGGTGGTGCGGCTGCGCGCGTCGGTGTGCGTACAGGGTGTGCGAGCAGTGTATGTATTTGGTGTGCGTGGGCGGCGCGCGGCTGTGCGTACAGTGTGGGAGCAGTGTATGTATTTGTGTGCGTGCGTGCGCGCGCTGTGTGCGTACAGCGTGTGCGACAGTGGATGTATTGGTGTGCGCGTGCGTGCGCGCGCGTGTGTGCGTACAGCGTGTGCGAGCAGTGTATGTATTTGGGGTGCGTGCGTGCGCGCGCGTGTGTGCGTACACGTGTGCGTGCAGTGATGTATTTGGGTGCAGTGCGTGCGCGCATGTGTGTGCGTGCAGTGTATGTATTTGGTGTGCGTGCGTGCGCGCGCGTGTGTGCGTACAGGGTGTGCGAGCAGTGGATGTATTTGGGGTGCGTGCGTGCGCGCGCGTGTGTGCGAGCAGTGTATGTATTTGGGGTGCGCGCGCGCGCGTGTGTGTTTCTGGGTGCGTGCGTGCATTCGTGCTTATCGATGCAGTGCGTGCGTGTGGGCTAGTGTCTGCTGATCGCAACACTTCTAGATGTAGGTACCCAATGCGCGCAATGTAAGTTTCCCGTCGTTAGCTTCATTGCTTCACACTGCTGCAATGTAAGTTTCCCGTCGTTAGCTTCATTGCTTCACACTGCTGCAATGTAAGTTTCCCGTCGTTAGCTTCATTGCTTCACACTGCTGCAATAGAAGTTTCCCGTCGTTAGCTTCATTGCTTCACATTGCTGAAATGACTGACCGAAAGTTACTTATCTATACGTACAAGCCATTATGGAAATCGATCTATCGCCTGGAGTGATTGACAGGTAGCTCTAACCAATCACTGTTGTAATAGGGACGTTCTAAAAAAACTTGGCGAAGTTGACATTTGGTTGTGCACGGGTTAAAAATGCGAATACTCGGTCAAGTTTGATCGACCTAGCAACAATATCTAGGATGGCGGGCGTGGTTATTTCATCCAGACGGATAGTTCGATTTAGTTTAGTTTTAATTGTTGGAGCATGCATGAGCGCTCCGGAAAAAGATTTATTTGTTCTTTTGTGTGAAGGCAGTGTTTACTCAACCCAGTTCATGTTCTAAATCACAGTGTTCGTATCGATGACTTGCACATTATATCCTTTACATTCGTTGTGTTCTTTTTATTTTGTAAGTGTTTCAGCCATTTCTCTGTATACAAAAGCAGTTATTGGCCTATAGAGTGATCTGCAGATATGTATGTGTGCGTGTGTGTGTCATCTCAGTAAAATCTCTATATTTAAAGGTTAACATTCTATTTATTTCACGTAAAACAAACTATTTTTAATACGGCTCAGAGTACAAATTCCTATTTATGTTCTTACAAAAACAGTACAGTATTGTATGATCTACTTCAACTAACCGACATAAAATTTGCTCATTAAGCTTTTAGCTATTCCCGTGTGTCATCCGCTATAGAAATAGCTCTCACTATCTAGCTCTTCACTCTGCAACATGAATTGTGCGACAGAAGAGCTACGCAAGTGTCTTCTCGGCTATAAAACTCGTTGACACCTCTCTGTCAGCACACTTATGTAACGCCAACATGTTCTGCTTGCATTATTTGTCATAGGAAGATTCTTCTTATGACAAATATTGGCGAGTCAACTTCGTTCCGCTTTACAGCTGAAATTCATTGCTTGCGTTCATAATAGCGCTTCTACACTCCTATGATGCGCACAACACATACAACAATATTTGCATAGGAAGAATCTTCCTATGACAAAATAGTGTCATAGGAGAGCGTATATGCATATGTCGTATTTGTCATAGATGCTAGCGGAACAGCTGGTAACGCAGTAGTGAACGAGGGTCAACAAACTGTACCTACTTTCCATTTCAATGAGTAGACGTGCCGGCATTGCTTGGACCTCTTACCCTCTCTTGGAATGAACTGGTGCTATGAAATGTACGTAGAACTTTGCAAATGACCGATGACGTTTGTCAATGCTGGCAGCAGAGTACCCTGGTGATCGGAGCGGTTATGTAAATCTAGTCAACTTTCTGTTTCGTGCATGAGCGCGGAGCTCGCCGTAACAGCTGTATGTGTTGTACATGTTACTCGTGTCTTGTGAATAAAGAATCTCTCGTCTTAGAGACCGTGCACGTGTGTCAGAGAGAAATGTTTGTCTGTATGCAGAACCGTAGCTTCTGGGGACAAGTGGGCGTAGCTGCCCCCTAGGTTTTGGAGGAAACCTAAAAAGATAAGCTTCGGTAGTAATTGTGAGTAACCCGAAAATAAATGTTATAAATAATGGAACAAAAATTACAATTTTACAAAAACAGTTACAAAAACACAATTATTCCTTCGGCCCAACCCTGCCCGACATGCGAATTATTTCTTGTATGGCAAATGAGGATTTTGCCCCATCCGTAGGAATTTATCTTCAGCTTACGGCCCTGATCTTTCTGCTACTGCTGTTGATAATGCTGCTGCTGCCACTGATGCCGCTTCTGCTGCTGCTTATGTTGCTGATGCTGCTGTTGCTTCTGCTGCTGCTGCTACTTATGCTGCTGCTTATGCTGCTGTCGGCGATGGTAGATGTAGGTTACAGTGATTTCATTCGTGGGTTGTTATTCATCAGAGATCTCTATCTTCCAGCCGAGATACCGATGCTGGAAGCACTGTAAATAGATTACAACAGCGTGATGAATGCTTAAATCAAATATTGAAAATCTCTCTCAACTAACTGTAGCGTGAACATATCTATACTGAACATATTGTGTGCGGGAACATTGCACAGATGTATATTCACTGCTGTCGCAACCAAGCATTAAAGTTTGGGTGTTTTTGTAGGTCGGGACGCTGCCCCGTCTACTGGTTAGAAGTGTCCCTAGTATAGTCGCATATAGTATAGTCGCATTTACGCAGGAAAAACATCACTGACTGACTGTATAACGTTATAATAATGTAATAAAAAGTGTAATAATGTTATTATATACAGCTCAGAGGAAAAAATAGCAACGTTACAATAGCAAACGTTCAGATTCGTCACACAGCAAAAGACACTGCTAGGCCTGATTGGTCATGCCGAAAAAATACGGGGCTGTGATTGGTCATATTTCGATCATGTCAAAAGATACTGGTGCAAGCGGATTTTCAGGACTGCAAACCAAGGCACCCCACTTTTAAATAATACTTATTGAAATGTTCCCATTTTAATCACACGACTGGTTTCCCGCGGGGTGAACTAGCTCCTACCCCTTCCCCTCGGCCCATGACTGAGCAATACTATCTGCACTAGATTTACCTGGTAGTAGAGAGTTTGTGGCGTCCTGGCGTCGGGTCTCCACTGGAATACGCCTGGAACTCTAGGCTCTTCGCACTGCAGTAACTGATTAGCCTTGTACTCCTCAAAGCTCGCAGTATCCTCCGCTCTCAGGCTGGTATCAATGGGAGTATATTCGCAAAAGGATCCGGTCGCTGTTCGGGAGTTCGGAGGAAAACACCAATTGCATATTACATACGATCATGTTACGGTTGCGCCGGTCAAATAAAAGACGATTTAGAAATGGATGAAAAGATATGAAAATATTTGAAAAGAAAGTAGATAGAAATAATTGGAGGTAAAGTGCAGTCAATGTAGAAAGTATGTGGATAAAGGTGTGCGAAAAGAGAGTATGGGAGAAGTGAAGACCCGAGGCGGCCTGATGGGACGCTACACTACCCGTATAGATTCTACCCGCTTGTCATTTTATCGTGGGAGTGTACCACAAAGCTTAGTTCACAGTATATATTTTGACGTTTTTGCTCCAGTTCTCAAATATTTCCATCTCTCACTAACTCATGTTCATTAAATTACCAAACCAAGCCGAAAACCAATAAGGTTAAGTGCCCGTGTGGAAATCGATGCAATGCGAAGTTCGAGGTAAAGAATTTGGCGTTTCTTACGCCGGTGTTAATATTTCTAGAAGGGTATCATGCATCACAGCAGGAAAAAACTCACGGCTGACTGTAACAACTGATCGTTTTTCATCGTAACATTGAAAGTTGTTTCACACCTCACGTTACAACCCATCAGCACCCTCCCATGATGTCAGTTAAGGACTATAGAATGATAGACGAACTACAGAGAATGTAAACTATAGTAACTATAGATGGGACTAAAGGACTATAGAATGATAGATGAACTATAGATAATGTAAGCTATAGTAACTATAGATGGAACTAAAGGACTATAGAATGATGGGTGGGCGTACACGGATTGAGACTATAGGAAGGAAGACTGGTGCATGCAGACTGTGCGGCAGTTTGACGGATTGATGATTACGACACGTTCCTATCTATTTAGGGATAAACTATAATTATTAATTGCTTTTACAAGATAATAGATTATCAATATTAAGTATTGTTATAGTATTTCAGTATTATTTTGGAGTTATTCGTATTATATAATATTATTGTTATTTATAGTATATTTTTTATATACGCGGGGGTATATGTGGTGTTCATTTATAGAATCAAGAGCTAATAATACCTAATACCTAATAATACCAGGAGTCTACCAATAGGACTCATTAATCATCAATCATCAATCAATCATCAATAGGACTCATCAATCATCAATCATCCATCAATCATCAATCATCAATCAATCATCAATAGGACTCATCAATCATCAATCATCAATCAATCATCAATAGGACTCATCAATCATCAATCGTCATAATCATCAATAGGACTCATCAATATGACTCATCAATCATCAATCATCAATCATCAATAGGAGTCTATCAATCCAGGAGTATATCAATAGACTCATGATAATACCTAGACGTATTATTAGCTAGCGATAGAATGTCAGACTCCCGTGTTTACCCACCTCCTTCTGAAGGCATTTGATTGCCATCAATCCCGTAATAAACTCCGCCGAGAAGAGACTAAAATAAAACAGAACGCAAATATAATTACGCTGCGTTCAACGCTTGAGTCGTCATTGTCCTCAAAACACATCTGCTATGGAGATTACATGGGAAGGTATACCATAGGGTACTTGAACTATTTATGAATAGTAGGCCTACATTGTACAATTTAGTGAAATTATATAAATTCATTTATTATTTTTAATGATAATGTACTAATTTAACAGTATAAATTATGCACTTAATTGAGTAATTCAGTGAGATAGGCCGTGATTTTCATTATTATCTGTGCCGATGTTTGCCCTGCACCCGATTCGGATTATAAGAGCGTTAAATTCGGATTATAGGAGCGTTAAATTCGGATTATAGGAGCGTTAAATTCAGATTGAATGAGCGTTAAATTCAGATTGCATGAGCGTTAAATTCAGATTGCATGAGCGTTAAATACAGATTGCATGAGCGTTAAATTCGGATTGCATGAGCGTTAAATTCAAATTGCATAAGCGTTAAATTCGGATTGAATGACCGTTGAATTCGGGCCGGATCAACAGTTTTGATGTAGATAAGTATGGAGGTTTGTAAGTACGGTAGATGAACAGCAGCCGAATACCAGTGTGTGAGTGCGTGCGTGCGTGCGTGTGTATGCGTGCGTGAGTGCGTGCGTGCGTGCGTGTGTGTGTATGTGCGTGCGTGCGTGTGTGAGTGCGTGCGTGCGTGCGTGTGAGTGCGTGAGAGCGTGCGTGCGTGCGTGTGTGAGTGCATACATGCGTGCAAGTGTATGCGTGTGCGTGTAAATGCCTGTGTGTATACGTGCGTGCGTGCGTATGCGTGCCTATGTGCGCATGTGCGTGCATCTACCTCCAGGTATAACCTCACCTGTCTTTCCTGCTCGGTGTTTTGTATGAATCCGCCGATAGGGTCGCTGGTGATGTAGACAGGGTGGTAGCTGGCTGTGTGCGACGGGTTGTTGCCAGTCTCTATGATGAAGATGTATGTCTCGCCTCTCTTCAGCACCAGCTTGGGAATCAGTAGACCATTCACCCAGTAAGCAATGCCCCAGGATACCTGGCCTGTACAAGTCGCAATCAATACGTGTCAACGTTAGTGTACAATGTTATTTATTATGTTAATATGTTATGTTATGTACAAGTCGCAATCAATACGTGTCAACGTTAGTGTGCAATGTTATTTCACAGTGAGACAGTAATATGTTACGATAAAAGGTTAAATGTGCGTAGCAGTGCATCGTGTCATGTGTCCTTTATACAAACAAAAGTAAGATAGTAAGTCATTGTTTTCGGTAAACGGCTTCTGCTACAATGAATGAATTGAAGGTGAAAAAACACGATTGCTTTTTCATGTCGCAGTGTCTTAATCGAATGGGAACAGTAAGCCGTTTGCAATGGAGTCCTTTCACAACATCTGCTGACTCATCTTCAGATTTGCACTCGAATTTAACATGTAGGCAGACAAAAAAGGCCGTGTTGCACTGAGATGAGCTGTAAACTAAACACATTCAGGCGCGAGCAGGTGGACTTAATTAGGACTTAAGACAGGAAGACTCACCTGTAGTGCCTGTGTATCCCGGTTTCCCCCCGGATGGTCCCATCGTAAAATGGAACTGTCTCGTCGGTATGCCGGAAAGTATTCGAGGTGGCCACACCTGCACCTCCTGTTTAGGTTCGTCAGTTGTCTGCGGTAGCTCGTTACAGTTGATTACCGGAGTTCTTTCGAAATCCAGTCTCACGATACCTGCATGTGTACAAAAACATAAGTCTCTCTCTCTGTCACTGTATCTCTGTATTTCTGTCTTTCTCTCTTTCTCTGTCACTGTATCTCTATATTTCTGTCTTTCTCTCTCTCTCTCTCTCTCTCTCTCTGTATTTCTGTCTTTCTCTCTTTCTCTGTCACTGTATCTCTGTATTTCTGTCTTTCTCTCTCTCTCTGTCACTGTATCTCTGTATTTCTGTCTTTCTCTCTCTCTCTGTCACTGTATCTCTGTATTTCTGTCTTTCTCTC